TATATATATATATATATATATATATATATATATATAAACACACAATGCATTTTATCGGTTAGACCTCACGGTTAGCTTATCACCCGAACCATGAGGTCAGTGGTTCAAATCCCTTCCTTTTTTCTCATGTTTACAAAAATTAAAAACTATATAATATGTTGTGTATATGTAGATACAAACACACACATACTATAAAATATAGTATAGATAATAGGTGTGGTTTGTATAAGGCTGAGGCCCTAAACAATCAAAGTAAGGCACACCTTCAAATAGTGCCGAAATAAGTTGTTTTAGTATCAGAAATTTTTATGATGGCCTAAAATTTTATTTTTATCTCTAATTATAAAATATAAAGATTAAAAAAATAGTGTAGATCGAGCATAATACATTATGAACACTTGAAAATCTTGAAAATTGACGGTCAAGATAATACATTATAAGATGCACTATTTCCAAGACTTAAAATCTAGTTTTTTTTTTTTGAAGTGTTGACTATAATTGCATTACTGGATAATAAAGTGCACACAAAATTGGGCCCTCTTTGAGGACACCTTATACACCCCTGAAGCGTTCAAAAAACGGAACAAACGAAATTACAACTCGTGAGCTCGAGATGATCAAATTATGGGCTTCAGCATCAAAACAACGTCTTCTAGTGAATTTTTGAGGTGCGCCTTAATTTGATTGTTTAGGGCCTCACTCTTATATAAACGTTTTCCATATATAACATAGTATAATACTATATGTTAGAAGAATTCAGTGCCAAGGAGATTTGAACCTCTGACAGTTTAGAAAAAGGTCATTCACCCTATCTATCAAAGCCATTCATGCTTCGTGTTATAAATTATATGCAGTAAATATTACTAATTGAATGAACCGCATGATTTAGCCCAAGAACCATAACATTCTTGGGCTGTTCCTGATCTGGATCGGCAAATTTCAGATCACTGATTAAAACATTCACTTTCATAATTCATACAAGTTAAACACTCAAGTGTATCTAGTTTAGAAAAAACAGAGATATTCTTGATGCCTAGCTTGGTTGATAAATATCTCTGTATATGCAAAGGACAAATTCAACAACAATTAGAAAGCCTGCCATCAGTAATATATAAATAATGCACAAAATTTGTCCAACAAAAGGCCCACAGATGGCATAGTAGATTAGTCTCAATTTTTCTCCCAGAAAAATCTGGACATAGTCAGTGTTGTTGGCAATTAAAAACCACTGCAATGCATAGACTCCATGACTGGGAATTTCAATAGATAGAATTTATTCCCTATTTTAAATAATGTACATGAAGCAATCATTGGAGAGACATCGTTATGAGTTATGTCAGCCACATATAAGAATGCTAGCGAAAAGGGCTATCCACAAGCATGTGTCCATTAATAATGCCTAGCATGGTATTCAAGTCAATCCACTTGTCATGGAGACGGTAAGAAAATCCTGATGTTGGTATATGTCCATGAAATATATCAACTTTAACGATCCCATGTGCAAAACTTTCCAAAAATGATGGGGAAGTCACTTCAATGGTTTACCCTGGCTATGGAAACCAAGATTCATATAACAATCCTTGTATCACTATTATTATAAAAAGTACATTAGGGTTATTTTATGTCCATGAAATATATCGTGTAGCGACCCATGTGTAAAAATCCCAAAAATGATGTGGAGACTTATGGTCTTATTGGCAGTATGGCCCTTGATAGAGTAGAATGGTGGAACAAGATTCGTGTAGCCAACTCGAAATAGTTAAGATAAGACTCTGATGATGATGATGCTGATGATGCGAAGAGAACAAGACAATTGATATGCACCCAATAGAAAAACAAATTGTGTAGCACAACAATCTGGCGACAAGAGACAATGTCCTACACAGCCATGTCGTTCAAAGTTGCAAAGCTTATTGCTTTTTGTGCTTCCATGAAAACATTCCAAATCCTCTCAAACCAATCCTTGGTAGTTTGTCTGAGGCAACAAAGTGCTCCATAAACCCTGAATCGCAAATGTCATCCATTGCTATTAATACAACATTGCATCAATTTAGGTAACCACAAGACTGTAACTTCACCAAATACATCACACATCAACCAAACAGCCTCTTCTTCTATAGAAGGCTTTGGTTACCCAACTATATATGAGCTCCATCCATGCCAGGGAAAAAGCAGAGCAGTTGGAGGATAACTCACAAATAACAATAGATTCTCGATTGTTCCTTTAGTAACCAACCTAACTTTGTAGCGCTCAAGGTCACCATCATTTCCAATTTCACCTCATAAATTGAGAGGTAATGAATTCCTTGAATATTAATACTCGTTAACAACCTATCATTGGACCAACAAAAGAAACATGAGAAACAAACCCAACAAGGGGAGATACTTTTGTTGAAACGAGTTGGTATGTGCCAAATTGACCGGCTATGATGCTGTAATAAGACCGTGAGTACATGCTGAATCTACTTTGCATGGCTCAAAAGTGAAATTCACCCATGGTTGGGAACCTAGAAATTTAAATGTGCAGCAAAAGGAAAAACCAATGGGCAATGAGAGAGAACTAAATGAAATTTCTAACAAAAACCCCACCTGCCTCAGTTGACTTTAAATTCAGACCACTCAAACACAATAAAAAGTCAGGGCAGTCCTGCCAGGGGGAGTTGGTATGTGCCACATTGACCGGCTATGATGCTGGTAATAAGACCGTAGTACATGCTGAATCTACTTTGCATGGCTCAAAAGTGAAATTCACCCATGGTTGGGAACCTAGAAATTTAAATGTGCAGCAAAAGGAAAAACCAATGGGCAATGAGAGAGAACTAAATGAAATTTCTAACAAGAGCCCCACCTGCCTCAGGTGACTTTAAATTCAGACCACTCAAACACAATAAAAAGTCAAGGCAGTCCTGCCAGGGGGAGTTGGTATGTGCCACATTGACCGGCTATGATGCTGGTAATAAGACCGTGAGTACATGCTGAATCTACTTTGCATGGCTCAAAAGTGAAATTCACCCATGGTTGGGAAACCTAGAAATTTAAATGTGCAGCAAAAGGAAAAACCAATGGGCAATGAGAGAGAACTAAATGAAATTTCTAACAAGAGCCCCACCTGCCTCAGGTGACTTTAAATGCAGACCACTCAAACACAATAAAAAGTCAGGGCAGTCCTGCCAGGGGTCTCCCTATAGTGCACCTTGTTGAAAACTTCTGGACAAATTTTTGTGTATAATCTCCTAAGGAAAACCTTGAACGCCTAAATGAATAAAATGTCTCCTTCTGGGCCATAAGTGAGAAGGCCTAGAAACTTAACTTTGATGATAGTTTGAAAGGAAACAATGAGAAATCATCACAGGAAGAAATCGTTAAACTCATAGGGCCCATTGAGTCACTGTGATGACTATAAGTTAGATGCCCATGAGCTCTTGTCTGGATTTGGCAACTGCAAGCCATGCTGGACCTCCATTTTGGATGAAGGAGATCCAGCGAGTGAAATTGCTTCGGCAAGCAGAAGTGCAAAGTAACCATAAAGATTATTTCAGTAACCACGAAGATTATTTCAGATCTTTGAATACATCTTTGAGATATGCTCTAAAATGACAGTGAGTATACTTGGAGGGAGACAAATGAGATGGCAGAGGAGGGAACTGGTTGCTCTGCATTAGTAGTTACTAATACAGACCACAGAGTATGGTGCATTTTCCGGCTTTTCTTTCTTGCCCAAATTTCCAAGGCATACATGTAGATTTTGTACATTTAATAAATTCCAGCCCATTAAAGGAATGCCACAAATGGGACATATTGAACCTATTCACTCAACGAGTCCATAAGAAATATCTGAAAGAATAAATTAGACGAATTTGCCACATTCTCCAAACCAGAACACAACCAAGAGCCACCTCCCAATACATTATCCAAAGCTTCTGAGCATACAATTGGAAATAGGTGCCTCGACTTCAAAAGAGATTGCAGATGCCCTTCCAGAGCCCACTCTCAAACCAACTCTTTATCTTTTAAAATCAGGATACCAGCCGACCAAAAACAAAAAAGAATAATGATAATAACAATGCCTGGGTCTGGATCACCATGATCCAAAAGTACAAAATTCTCATCTAGTCACACAGAAACTAGAAGAATGCAGACCCCTAAGGCCTTCTTGTCCAATGAATAGCAAGGAGCACAAGAGCACATCGAGCCTCAAGACTACTTTTCAAGAAGTTCCTGGAGCCGTGATTTTGCACCTCCTCGACCTTCAAAAACTCTTAAGAGGACCAGCCCAGGTCTACAGCTTCTCCTTGTCACTCCATGACACACAATGTGCAGCCTATGGGCCCATTGAGCTAAACATTTTATATCTCTTTATCCAACCCATCACTTAAGTTAAAATGCAAGAGAAACATCTCTATCTTGAAAAGAATATATGCAGTGGATATCACAATCATCACTGCAACAGCCAAAATTAGAGAATGTCTAATAACTTGAATCTGGGTGTTCTGCTATCAACAAGTGAACTGCAACATATGTCACTTGCCACCAGGCAAGTATGCAAGATTATTCAAGGAACAACTGCATTTGACCATTGTCATAATCAATTGCTTTAGAAGTTCAGTCAATTGAACGACTAGGCATCCACTCAAAGGCTTATCTCCTTCACAAAATATTGAAAACAACAGGAGGAAAACTTCAGTTCCCGAGTATTTTGTGAAAGTTGTCATTGCATGGTTATTAGTCCAAATATCATGTGATTGACAAGAAGTCATGAAGACCATGAATAATACCAAGAGTCACTGCTCTCTAATGCCACATTTTTTAACACTGGATTCCCCACATTGTGCAAAACCCACTCCCATGCTCGGAATCTTTTATAGAAGTCCCGGGGTTTGATGCCTAAGCTGATGCAACAAGGTTCAGCTACACACTAGGCACATGCTTGCCATGCCAACAGAAGAAAAAAGAAACTAAAAAAGAAAAGAAAGAAAAATAAACATGCTTAGCATATTAAAAATATAAAAGAACAATTTAAAATAACTAAAGAAAACATATAGATGAGTTCGATAAGCATAGAATAACCTGCAAATAAAAAAAACAAGTATACAGTGACCAATTGCCCAACCAAGATGTATGTACTAAATAAGGCTCTGATGATGATGATGATGTAGATGTACATGTACTAAATAGACAATTTCAAACAATATATAAATGAAATTAGCCCTCTCACCTTAAATGATTTAGCAGGTGGTTCTGAGTGGAACAAGCCTTTATGTATGGAAACACCGTGAGAAGAACTTTCAAAATCCATTTTACAGCAAGCTCGCAGTATGCTGATGAGACTGACATTGTGCCCACACCAACCGACGTTTCCAGAGACGGTACTGCAAAGCCTTGAGAAGGAGGAAGGAAAGAGCAAAGCACGTTACTCAGCTTAATGGTATACTCCTTCCAAGTTTGTGAAGCAATAGTCAGCTCAGAAAGTTCTTTGTTATATGGTACAGAGGAATCAGATGATTGGACCATCTTTTCTTGTCCGTAAGTGTTCACATTAACATCCATAATGGGCATGTGAGAATTGTCATTAAAAGATGAGTCATCCCCCTTCTGTGGAAAAACTTGAAGCATGAAAGCAGGAGAGCAGATGTTGTTTGCAAACTTGTGTATCCTTCCGTTTTCACAAATAAACAACATGTTATTGAGATTACCATATCTAGGTCTGGTTAAGGACCTTATTGGCTCTTTCAGAGAGCAGGAAAAATGGCAAGAAAGAAAAGTATCTATCAGGAGTCCAGAAATAACTTCCAAACCTTGCCAGCAATTATAAAAAGAAAAAGAAAAAGAAAAATAGACAACATAAGGCCTCCAGACTCCAGCCCAAGTGTTGCAATTTTACGACATTCAACATGCCTTCCAATAACCCCTTGTACCTGCTTACATCCAACAATAACAAGATGGCTAGTTTCTTTTTCACATGAAAACACATCCTAGAACTTCAAAGCTGAAAAGGGAAAAGTAGCATAATGATATCTTGCATATAATATACATACTGAAATATTAAATCATTCAGTAAATGCATTGCAGACTAAAGGATACACTGCTTCCCGTAGGACATCCACCAGAAGGATTTGAAGCTCAAAATCCTCAAGAACAGGCTTCCCATATCTGGCAAGGATTATGACCAAAAAAAACAGGAAAAGCAAAGAAAGAGGAAAATAAGACACTGCATCCTCAGATTGTAAGAGCAAAGTAAAGCATCAAGAGACCAAAACACTTGAACCAAATAAAATTCATATCCATACAGATATCACATCAAGAAACTCAGCTCCTTAGTATGGAAAGACAACAACATCCAATCATAATAAAAGAAAATATATATCCCTCAACAAATTCTTCCAAAATATATTTTTCTGGGGCCCAAAAACATGGTTGAAGTGAAAATTATATATATTTCAGGGGTCCAAAAACATGGTTGAAGTGAAAATTATATATAATGTATATATATATATATATATATATATATAATAAATAAATTGAGAACAGTCACATGTAACATGAATTCATTATAGCATGATAAACCATTTATGCTGCAACTGTAACCTATAAGATGCAGTGAAATAGATAATACAAAAAGAGCAATTGACAAGGAATACAAATCAGTAAAAGTTCATTGACCTTAGTTGCTATGTATGCGACAGGATTAGATGTGCATGTAATGCAAAGGATCGAAGGCAATAATGAGGAAGATACGAGCTTGGAACGTGATCGATAAAAGAGCAAGAGGCAATCATATGCTTTCTTTAAATAACAATATTCTGAAGGGATAGCATGTGGCCAGCATATGCGAGCAGTTAATGGTTACTTAATAAAGTCTATTCTTAAGAACAAACAGGGTTACATGGAGATACCAACGCTCGTGTTGTGTTTAATATGTGTCTTATGTATCTATTACTTTGATGTAAGAAGCTAGTATGACAATATCAGTAACATGACCTACTTTGAATAAAATAATAATGTTTTCTTGTAAACGCACAATATAATATCTTTTATAAGTCCACAAAACACTTTGCAGAGTGGTAGCTCCATCAATCTCATGAGTTTGAACTCCTTCGAAGCCTTTATCAACATTTTTCCTTGTTTACTGTATGCATTACCAATGGCTGAGGCTAGGCACTCTGCCCTTGCTCGAGCTGAGTAACATGGGTGAGTTGGAGATAAAACATCTAAGTCATTTATGAGCCTAAAAAGCACTCAAATTTTGCAAAACAGAGTACCAAAATTTGCTAAATATAAAAAATATTAAAAAGAAAAAGAACTTACAAACATCATTAAAAGTCCGCAGAAAATAGAAAAAAGCATATAGAATATGTAATATGGTAAATATTGATTTATAGCTAGAAGGATTCAGAAAAATCCAAAAGAGGAAAAATAAAAAAAGAAAGAAAGAGCATAGGATAATAAAATTTCACAAACCATCATAACACCCACAAAATTATATAAGAACACATTTATACATCATTTATTAGAAAAATATATTATTTCGTTATGATTTTTTACATACCGAGTTTTTACATTGAACTCACCTCAACAGGGTGCTGAGACCGAGTATCTCAACCGACTAACCGAGTCCGACTTGACTTGACCGAGTTTCTGGATGCCGTTTATCACATGTAAGACTCCTTCATAATTTCTTCATTTATCACACCTTACACTAAGCAGTCGAGTGGTAGATTTTACCACTCATGAGCATTAGGCCCAAGTTCGAACTCTTGGGGGGCCTTTTCTTAACTTTTTTTAACATGCGTGCAGTGTCCCACCATGTCGACACAAAAACTATTTGAGGTTGGGGTAACACTGGGTAGAAACGTGTACTACTACAGATTTTTAGAGAATATGTCCTCCACAGATTTTTAGAGAATATGTCCTCCTAGTTATCAAGAAGGTTTTTCATTGAGGTGAGTCGTACTTTAAGGGGGAGAGTAAGAAAGCATGCAAAAGAACATTTGGGACTGCATTTGTTCGTTAGAAGTTTTCTTTCTGCTCTAAGGGCCAAGTGATGGGCCCTAAACCGTTTAATATAATCACAAGTGGTAGGACTGTATTTAGATTCGTAACAGTTGATGAGTATTGTTCATCAGAAGTTTCCTTTGTCTTTTGCATGAACCCTGAAGTTCTCCATGCGCCCTGTAGTTGTTCATAACTTTCCTTTGTATTGCACAAAACCCTAGGTCCTTGATTTAAAGGGTTTATATACGTCTCATTATATTTTAAGATAACTAAACATGTAATGAGTCAAAGAATTAAAAAAATTGGTACAAAATAAAATTACAAATCGTAGTGCAAAAAAGCAAACTGGCAAAATGGAAAATCATTTTGGGGTAAATCACCTGCACTTGGAAGCAGTATTCTTCGTAGGTGATGCATTGGCAGATGTAAAACTAAGTCCATCCAACAAAACTTCCAAGCCCCCAATGCTTTTAAAATGATTCTGAGCTCGTGGATTTTCAGTTAGTGCAGATCTAAGAGTTCTTAATGTTAACAATTGCAGTGATCTTTCTGTCCATTGATCCTTCAAACTCAATCTTCTGATGACCCGCAACAGTTCTGGAGAAAATGCACAGCAAGAACTAAGATTATGACCAAAAGGAAACCTATGACATATTCCACGCATATGGAAGCACATATTATGCAGAAGCCAGTGGCACGTGCAGACATAAACCTAACCACCCCTTTCATCAGAGAATTCAACATTATTATTTAACTAAAAGCCAGGTACTCTGTATAGGAAAACATGCATCAATAGATTGCACCAAAAAAAAAAAACTTCACAGGAAGTGAACTAATCTACCACGTCCTTCAAAAACCAATAAACTACTTTATTAGACCCAGAGAAATGGAATTAAATAGAAAAGTCCTAACCAACAGAAAAAAATCCAGTGTAAATATCTACAAACAGGTGATAAGTTGGCAACTTAAAATGCAATCAATGAATGCACGATAATTTAAGAGACACATTGAATGATACAGCACTAGTGAATTCCATATTTTTGCAGCAGCAAACTGGCCATTGCTTTCGCTGCCAAACCAACCCATAATTCTGCCCAATACCATGAATTCACATCTTATTCTCTCCAGAGCTTCCCCCAACGGCTTTTGACAAATTATATGCGGCAACTAGTACACAATATGTGTAATAGATATTGACAACAGTAAAGGAAAGCTTCATTAGGTGAAGTGATATTTATAGTGGAATATGCACTTCAGTGGGAGCATGTAAAAATGATATTTATAGTGGAATATGCACTTGAGTGGGAGCTTGTAAAAATGATATTTATATTGGAATATGCAATTCAGTGGGAGTATATGCGTTGACTGACTAAGGGATGGGAGGTTTATGGCTCTGGTCATGTCGAAAACCCTTGGCCCTGGGCATGCGGCACTACCAAGAAGGGTTTGCAGTGGGTCATCCCTTGTTGAGGTTGAAGAGATACTCAGGGATCATGTTTGTAGGCCAAGAGAACTGTGCGGTCTCTTGTGTGTGGTTGTAGGCCTATGAGAGCAAAAGCTAAAGCCTCAACATACTTCTGCACGGCATGTACACATGACAGTTGCTTTCCTTTAGAGAGACACATGTACATGTGTATTTAGAGAGCCCCTTTGCACTGTAGTGACAAGTGTTAGACTTGCTCTTAAAGGGGGGAACTGTATTCCACATTCCCACTATTTTATTATCCAACTTTGACAAGCCAATCATGAGCCCCTGCAAAGAAACTGTGGGTCATGGGACTTTGTTGGTTTGAATAAGAGAACAATTGTGGATCATGGGTTCTGGGGCGAGTAGGACACCCTTAGTGTCGCTTATTTTATTTTGGTATTATAAATATTTATTTTATTTTTAAATACTTTTTTGGAATTTTAAATATTATTTTCTGCTGTAAATTTTCATAAAAGGGTATTTTTGAAAATTTTCAAAACTTCAAAAATAACACATGTGATACCAAGGATTCAACCCCACATGTGGCACTCCATACATCCTAGGAACCACACCCTATTTTTGTACAACAATATTTGGCACAACCTATTTTATTACTAAAAAGGGTGTCACACCCCATATATTTTAACACGGGGCCACGCCCTGTTTTTAGGAAAAAGGGGTGGCACGCCTAAATATTCTAAAAAAGGGGGTCGGCATGCCAATTTTTGTGGCATAGCATGCCCAATTTATTTAAATTTTAAAAAAGAATATTTAATGTGGCACGCTATTTTTTATGTATAAAAAGGCCACGCCACGTTTTTGGGAGAAAGGGGCACGCCCCACTTTCTTAAATATTTGGTTTGAAATTAAGATGAGAAATCTAATGAGATATACTTTTCCACATCTTATGGGAGATATAGATAATTTTTATCTAAATAATACTTAAGTTTGATTTCAAACGTATATGACTTATCTAGATAAGTCTAAATTTCATTGGATTTATATTTTAAATAGGAGTGGATTGGGTCAAAATCTAAAAGGATAAAGTTCCTAATCTTTCTACCCAAAATCATGATGGCTGATTTTGGGATGGATGGCTCTGATTAATCTCTCACCCCACATATTTCTTATTTATCCTAAACAAGTGTAGCTGGAAATTAGATAACGTAAATCCTTTTCAAACTAGGAGATAGATTTCTACTAGATTCTCTTCTATTTAAAGATGTTTGACCCTATTTGAAAAGATACTAGATCTTCTCTCTTCCCATAGTTTTTTTTTTCTCCCAAGATCTGTCTCTCCCTCATGCAGCAATATTGGGGGATCTCTCTCACTCCCTCACGCAGCCATATTGGGTCTCTCTCTCTCTCATGCAGCAATATTGGGGGGTCTCTCTCTCTCTCTCACGCACATATTGGGGGTCTCTTTTCTCTCTCACACATCTCTTTCTTTTAACCAAAAGATAGGCATGTCACCTCTCTCTCTGCTCTATATTTTTGTCTTGAAAGAAAAAGAGAGGTGACCTACTTAGGTGAAACCCTAAGAAAGAGTTTGTTGTATTTGTTTTAAGGAAGAAGAGAGAACCCCACTTAGAGGGATATTAACTCCCAAGATCAACCTTGTTTTGTTCCCATAGGGTTTGTACAAACCCTATGTTATTTTTGAGTTCTCTAAAACCCTAGAGGAAGAAAGATTGCCTACAAAGCTTCCCTATCTTAGAATTTTCAGAAAGACCTTAAGGAGGAAAAGTGCATCATTGGTCAGGAAATTGGGTGTGGGGTGTACCAAGTTCTAGTTGGGTAACTCTAGGCATCTTCTAGTAAGTCTTCCCATTAGTTTTAGTTATTGTCAGTTTTATTTTCTATTTTTCTGTAAGTTTTCAGGAACTTATATTGTGTTCAAAATTATTATAAAAACTAGTTTAAAGCTCCTGGATAGTTTCTAGTTCTCTTGGCAGTAAAATAAAGATCTTAGGTTGTATCTAGAGCATTGTTTTAATTTTCCAGCAATATATTGTGGCACATGTAAGTGGAATTCTGGTATTTTGAATAAAAATAAAAATAAATTTTAATACCTTGAGTTCCACATAACCAAACCTTTCATTAGTATCAGAGCTTCTATATTTTAATGCCAAAATTTAGGAGAAGCTCATGCTCCGTGGGAGCGCAAAAACACTAGCAAAACATGTACTACTTATGACCACGGATGACTCTCATGCTCTTGAGTATGAGCACCTAAAGATTGCAAAGAAGATTCATGAACGACTTGAGACTGATTATGCCTTACCTTCCCTCACAAGAAAGACAATGGCTATGAAGTAGTATTCAGATTTGAAGATGAAGGAAGGAGGCAAGTTCACCAAGCATATACAGCAGTTCAGAGCCTTAGTTCGTAAACTCGAGGGCGCACAAGTCATGCCAAATGAAAACAAGCAGATCTGCCAGTTGCTGAATTCTATGTCGAGTTCATGGGAAAACTTCATTTCAAGCCTTACAGCTAGGGAGATCATGCCAAAGCTGAATGATATCATCACCAAACTTAAAGCCGAAGAAGAAAGGAGATTTTCTCGCAATACTTCAGCCTTGAATAACTCCGTAAATATGGTAAACCTTAAACCCAACCCTGGTTCATTCAAGAAAATGAAATGCAAAGGAAAAAAAAAAGAAAGAACAAAAAGAATGAGAATTGAAAGAAGAACCAAGGGCCTAAGAAAAGGGGAAGGATTTTAAGAATACCCAATGCTATAATTGTAAGAAATTTATATTGCTAAGTTGTAACAGTCCTAAAATTTCAAAAAAAAAACAAAAAAAAAAAAAAAAAAAAAAAACAGGAGAAAATATGCTTTTAAATAGGTGATGTTCTGTTTGAATATGATGGTCCTTGAGGACCATCACTGTTTTCAAAAACTTTTGCGTTGGATTAACTTTTGCTTTGCCTTTACTTTTCTTCCTTTGCCCGCTTTTGCCTCCTGCTGCTTGCAGCTGGCAGCGTCCTTTAGCGGACGTGATTTTCGTACGATAAAAGTCTGCTTTTAACGCGACATCTCAAGTATGAGGTAGAGCGTAAGAAAATAATATAATAATACGTTATAATAATATAATAATACGTTATAAGAATTTAAATAGGGGATGTGAGCACTCCCACCTTAAAACAAAATTTTGAGATCTCTCTCTCTGGTCAAAACACAGTGAACTTCTCTCTCAAACCGAATTTTTTATCGGAAGCTCCCTCTCAAATAATTGTGGGTAAGTGACATCGTCTTTCTGAAAAATAGTCTATTTTTAATAAATAGTGATATTTCCGTCTAGGATCTTTATTTTATCAGTTTTGTGTGTAAGTGACCTCATTGTCTCGAAAAATAATCCATTCTTTTTAAAAATAAAATGAAATAATTATTTTTGCTTATTATCATGAATTTTAGGCGCGATAAATTTTATGCGCACGTGACCTCATTATCTTGAAAAATAATCTTTTTAATAAAAATTGTGATATTTTATCTATGTTAGAAATTTTGAATGCTGTAAATTAGAAAAATAAATTTATTTATTTTTCTTGTCTATTGTTAGAAATAAATGTGATATTTCTGCTTTTAGTAAAATTGTGATATTTCTTTCTACTGTTTTGAGAATTTAGACATTGTAAAATTCGTGTGC